CACATGTGGTGGCTCAATATTGTAATCCCAGTACTATGAAGGCTAAAATGGGAGGATTGTCACGAGTTTGAGGTTAGCCTGGACTAATAGTGAGTTCCAGGCCAGTCTAGACTATAGAGAAACTGTATTAAAAGGCAAATAACCAAACAAGATACCACTAAATATTCCTTCATAGACAGATGACTGGATCGGGAGGTTAGAGACCTAGGAAAGAAATTGCTCGTCAATGGGTAGGTACCCTTGTGACTCTGGACCTTCTTTCCTTCTGCAGTCCAAGTAACAATGCACCTGCTTTACAGAGGCCTGCTAAGATGTTACCGTGTCTGTATTAGCAATGATAGCCTCAAACTTTAGAATCTTTGTCTGTCCTGGAGGTGAGAAATTGAATCTCAGTATAGATATAGTTTGCATTATCTCAATACAAAGGAAAGCGAAGATCTGTTATTTTGTTACCAGCCTTTAAAAACATTTCTCTCTTTTATTAAAAAGCTGTTGGCTTTTCTATTGTTTGCTTTTTAGTTTATGTGTATGGGTATTTTCCCTGCATGACTGTGCACCATGTTTGTACCCAGCAAGGCTAGAAGATGGAGTTGGGTCCCCTAGAACTGTAGTTACCAAAGGTTCTGAGCAGCTATGTGGGTACTGGAGCTGGAACCTAGGTCCTTTAGAAGGGCAACCAGTGTTCTTATCCCCTGAGCTACCTTTCTAGGCAGTTGTTTTCTTTACATCTAGGATTTTTTGTTTGATTTCATTATTGTAGTTTTTAAATATTATTTTATTTTTAAATGAGATGTGTTTGCATGTGCTTGTTTGTACACCATGTGAGTACAGAAGGCCTTGGAAACCATGACAAGCCTTCAGCTTCCCTGAAGCGGGAGCCTCAGGCATCTGTGAGTCTGCTGGTGTGGGGCCTCAGAACCAACCCAGGTCTTATGGAAGAACACTGGGCACTCTTAACCACTGAGCCATCTCTCTAGCTTGCTGTGAAACAGGGTCTCACACTGAAACCCACCTTGGCTTGGAACATGCCACAGACTCCCAGCAATCCTCTTGCCTCTGCCCCTCCAGAGCTGACATCACCGGCAGGAGCTACCACGACCAGTTACGGGAGTTTTGTTGTTGTTCTTAATGATTTTGAGACAGGGTCTCAATATGTTCAGCAGACTGGCCCCAAATTCACCATCCTCATGGCTCCGCCTCCCAAATGTTGAGACTACAGGTGTGTGTCATCATGCCTAGCATGAAAACTTTCACTATAAACAGAGGCATCAGCCAAAATACAGACTAGAAATTTAACACGCTCAAGTTTATTTCGTGCCATTAGGTGGTACCACATTGCCACCATCATCTCAGTCACCTGAGGTAGCTGACTAGTCAACAAAGATCTCACATGCCCAGGTGTTCATAAGCAAAGGAAACTGTGGGGCTCGGCCACTTTGTGGGCTGCATATCAGGTAGTTACATTATGACTCATAACAGTAGCAAAATTAGAGTTATGAAGTAGTGACAAAAATAATTCTATGGTTGGGGTCACCACAACATGAGGAACTGTGTTAAAGGGTCCCAGCATTAGGAAGTGTTTACCTTGAAATTCGCCAAGAAAAAATAGTTCTACTGTTTTGGCTAAATTTAAGCAAACTTTTTTTTTTTTTTTAAAAAAAGATTTTTATTTAGTATGTATACAGTGTTCTGTCTGCATATATGCCTACTCACCAGAGAGGGCACCAGATCTCATTACAGATGGTTGTGAGCCATCATGTGGTTGCTGGGAATTGAACTCAGGACCTCAGGAATAGCAGTCAGCGCTCTTAACCTCTGAGCCATCTCTCCAGCCCCTAAGCAAGCTTTTATTAAAATTTTAAATGCCGACCAAGATGGAACTTGGTCAGGACCATCACCTGGAAACGTTCCAGGTAAGTGGCCCCAAGACACATGTTGGTAGAGCTTATATTGTCAAAACCCATAGGCCACTGTCCTTTCCCATGAGGCTTTGATGTTATTTTCTAAAAACTCCAATTCCCAGAATCCCAGAAAGTCACCTGATCCTTGGGCAGCTGGGGCTTACAGGTTAACTTCAGGTCTAACAGAAGTTTGAGAACCACTGATCTAGAACGCGATTCAAGGACACCACATTGCTCAATGCACAGAAACACAGTCAAGTCTCAACTAAAGCCAGACTTTAAATTTAATTTCCCGGAATGCTTCACCTTGGAAGTCCCTGACAGTGGACTCAGGGCCATGCAAATAAAAAGCACTGAGCTGCCAGGTGCGGCGGCTCCTGCACACCTGCCTGGAGCTTAAGAATGATAGTAGCAAACTTTTCTTCACCTGCCTGTCTGGCTGCCCTCCCAGCCAAGGCAGATTAGAGCATAGGCACTCTGCGAATGTGGTTAAGGACAGAGAAGAACTCCTTGGAAAAGAAGAAAGCAAGACAACATTCAGAGTTAGCACAGAATTTGGCCACCTGAGGCCACTGACTCTTGGGAACAAGGAACCTTGAAAGGAACAGCTAAGGTGGCAGTGGTTGCATGAGGAACCACCACCACACCACACCATACCAGTGGGTGTGTTCCAGTGTTGGGCACACTTGGTCTTGCATTTTGGGGGACCCTGTTCTTTCCCACTTCCTACTTAAGCTTCTTTTTCCTTCTCTTCTGTTTCTTGCTTTGTTTTGAGAGAAAACATTTGAGGCTGGCCTTGCACTCTATGGTCTCCTGTCTCTGATTCCCAAAGGTGGAAAGAGGGTTCTTCTTCTGGTCTTTCCACAGAAGTCCTGGAGGTCTTGGGAAGAGACCACAGCATCAAATACAGCAAAAAAAAGGGCAGGGTCAACACGTGTTGGGTTCCTGCTCTCTGCCAGGTGCCGAGCGGGATGCTTTTTGTTTCCTCATTTACTCTCCAAAACAAACTCCCCGAAGCAAACATTTTACACATACTGCAGATGTGGAGACTGAAGTTCACAAATGTTAAGTAATTTTCCGAAGATCTTGACAAACAGACACATGTAAAGCAAGCCCGGTACTATAGCCCGGTACTTCTAAGAGCTGGGCTTCCATTCCCCTGCTGGTCGTGAACAGGGTCATGGGATATCCACATGAACTGAGGCTACTGTGATCACAAATTACGGCAAAAAACATGAACCCTCTGGCACCATGTCCAACTACAGACCAAGCACAAATGCTCTCCCAGCCACGAAAGGGCCAATACCACCTTCCTCTCCATCATGCCTGTGACCGAGGCTACTTCTCGACCAGTCCCAACTGTGGCCTAGGTCTGGCAGGCTTTCCATTTAGCAGTGATTGGTGAAGAGATGCAATCAGAATTGTTTCCCACTTCCAGTCAGCCTCTCCTCCAGAGCAGACTTCCCTCTGAGGTCCCTGGCAAGCCACATTCCCCCTTGCAGCAAGGAGCAATGAAACCCAGCAGGTCCAAACCCCAGTAGCTTTGCCTAGGCGACCTTGGATGTCTGCCCAGAGAATTCGTACTGAGCCAAGAAGCTCTCTTAAGTCCAGAGCAGGTGCTTCTGACCACTCTGCCCTGCTGATCCCTGGTCAGCTTCTTTAATTTAGCTTCATATGGTTCGTTTGGTAAAGACAGCGTTTGTGGAAAGGCCAACGTCAGTTATGGTGGAGACAAAGCTGTTGCCTTGAAAAACAAACGTGTGTGAAATAAACACCTGGTTAGAGGGCAGGTGGTTAAAGCGTGAAAGGCAGCGACGCTCCAGGACAGAGTGGAGGAACATAAAAGACTCTTAGGGACAGAGGGAGACGGGTGTGGTGTCCAGCCTGTAATCTGGGGACTCAGAACTAGAAAGGCTGACCCAGGAGTCCAGCCTGGCCTTCATAGAGAGATGATAGCTTTTTTAAAAAAAAAAATGTCTTAATTACTTTCCAAAGTAAAAGCAGATGTGGTTGGCAGCACACACCTGTAATGCCACCGCCCCACTCAGGGAGAGGCAGCAGGATCACAGTGTTCAAGAGCAGACCAGGTTGCCAGGACTCATAAAGAGGGGACTTCTTGAGCGAGTGTCCAGAGTTCGAAAAGAAGGAGAAAGTCCTGTGGAGAGCATAGAGCATTCTCTCTGAGCAGGCCATCCAGGAGTCCAGACACCTGGGCAAGCTGTCTGGGTCATTTTCTATCTCGGATCTATTCAGGAGTCCGGGCCCAGCAGCTCCTGGAAGCTTTTCTTTGTAAGAAGTACTTGTGGGTGACAGGTGTTGAAGACGATTCATTTTATTGTACATCTAGATGCTGTTCCTCTAACCTTTCAGCTCTTTTCCTTCAACTCCCAACTCAGCCTGGGGCGTGGCAGCTCAGGCCCAGCTGTCGCAACACATCCTTCCCCACTTCTCTCCAGGTCCCATTCAGACTCCCAGTGAGTGGGTAGCTGTTTGACTGTTTTTTGTTCTGGCTCCAGCAAAGCCCTGGAGCTGCTCCAGGTCTTTCCCTGACGGGTGCAGATGAAAAGGACCCCTCCCCAAACCCCCATTCCGGGTTGAGACAAAAGGGTCTCAATGTGGAGGTTGGATTCAGTTACCCCAGGCCAGGCCTAATGGAAGCCTGCCTCTGCTTGCCTTTGGCTTTTCCTCCCGTACATGCACACGCCTGAATCCTAGACACCAGAGATCAGAAGACAAAGGATGGATACGTGAGGATGCGGTCGGGACATGATGAGGTGGGGGTCCCAGAGAGCACCAGCTGCACTTGCCACCTTCCAGGACTACCTGAGTGGCCAGGAGCTTGCTGGGAGGAGGCAAGGATGGGATGGAGACCAGGGCGGAATCGGACCAGGGCAGAACAGAGCAGTCGCCCCTGTTGGAGAGTGGGAAAGAAAGAGCGGGAGACTATCCCCCCAATCGCCGACTTAGGTAGGAAGCAAGAGGGTCCCCAAGGAAAAGGGGCGCTGACAGTTTGCCCCAGGCCGGGACGCCACGAAGGGCGGGGGGTGGGGGGGATAGGAGCACAGGCGGAGCCCACAGCTCGCACCCGCAGTCACTTACCCGCACGCGCGCTGCCGCTCGGTCCTGCACGTGCTCGGTTCCGGCAGGCGCGTTCGCGTTCCTGGGACACACAGGGAGAGGAGTAGGGCGGGCCTGGACCTTTGTTCAGTCTTGCCCCAGGGAGCCTCAGCTGGGCCACGAGCAAGCTAAGAGAGCAAAGAGACCGCGCCGGAGGCGGGGCTGGACCCGGGACTCAGGGACTCTGGCAGAAGAAGCAAAGGAGCTCCAGGCAGCACGGGAGGCTGCTGCTGACAGGACACTGCCTCTCTTCCTCCCGGGGACACCAGGGAGGTGGCCAACTTCCCAGGTCAGCCTTTGGCTGAAGCATCTGCTTCAGAGGAGGGAGGAGGCCTGCTGGCCATAGATGCTTCATCCCCCCCCCCATCCACTCCCCACCCCCTCTACCTTCCCCTCACCCCTCCTTTGAGGCTGCTTCTGGTTCACAGAGCCTGTCATGTAACCGTTGGGGTGTGAGCTAGCACAGTGGCTTTCCAGTTCATCCAGGGAACTCAGTCGTGGGCCTTAGGAACGAGCCCTTGCCCTTGCTTGGAGCTTGGAGCTTGGTGTTGTGAGTACCTACATCCCAGCGAGGTAAGCTCCCTGAAGGAGAACCAAACCTCTGTCACCCACAGGTGCTTGGTAAATCAAGGCAGGGGATTGGAACAGAACGCTGTGTCCTCTGAGCCAATCTATAAGATGTTCTTTCCTGTAAGATGAACAGGTGAAAAGAGAGTCCTCCCCGTGACCCCCATCCCTGGATTTACACTCACAGAGGGTAGAGCCTTTTGTGGCTGCCCCAGTGGGGAAGAGCCCTGCAGGCGGCTACAGAGGCAGACACTCCATTGGTCACCTCACTACAAAGCCTGACCTAACTACTCACACTACTAAGGACCTCAGGGACCCTCTGTAGCTCCTTACATGATTCTCCCTGCATCAACTGCCATCCCTATACTACACTCGTATAACACATAACTCATCCCTAAGTTTTCATCTCACCGAGGACAGTGACATGTTCTGCTTTGTTTGCTGTGTCCAGCTCCAAACTTGAAACTTATTGACTAGTAGATACTCAGGAAATTATGTTGGATAAGAAAATGACTGCTGCCGGGCGGTGGTGGCGCACACCTTTAATCCCAGCACTCGGGAGGCAGAGGCAAGCGGATCTCTGGGAGTTCGAGGCCAGCCTGGTCTACAAGAGCTAGTTCCAGGACAGGCACCAAAGCTACAGAGAAACCCTGTCTCGAAAAACCAAAAAAAAAAAAAAATAATAATAAAAAAAAATAAAATAAAATAAAAATAAAAAAGAAAATGACTGCTGAGATGGCCAGTATGGAAAGGTGACCGCCTCTGAGACTGACCACCTGGCTTCAATCCCCAGAACCCACACAGTGGAAGAACGGACTCCTACAAGTTACAGTCTGACCTTCACACGGGCGCTGATACCTGCACATGTGCCCAGACATGTGTATTAGATGTGAGTGTGTGAGTGAGTGTGTGTGTGTGTGTGTGTGTGTGAGAGAGAGAGAGAGAGAGAGAGAGAGAGAGAGAGAGAGGAGAGAGAGAGAGAGAGAGAAACACGGATGAACTGTCTTAATTGTTCCTCAAATGGGGCATATGGGGATTATGGGGTTGTCTTCATGGATTACCCAGTCTCAAGATCTTCTTTCCAGAAACTTAAGCCATGTAAGAGGATGAAGACTTATCGGTGCCCATGGCCTCCTAACCTGAGCAGTTAAGCTTCAGAGCGTCCTCACAACCATTTGGGGGCCCATCCTGAAGGGCCCGGTTCTGTTCAGCCAGCTCCGTACATGTAATTGATATGCATGAGGAAGGTGTAGACGGCAGATCCTGGATGAGTAAGGAAGAACTGCCAGAGGTGTCCCTCTGGTCCTGTATTTTGCCAACGTGGCTAGGTATGGAAAGGAAACAGAAGTCATTATTCTAGTCTGGTCAAGGGAGTTTTCAAATCTGTTATTGCTCCTTTGGTTTCGTATAATCAGACAGTGATGTTATGGCTTCAATGTGTTCCCCATAGTCTAAGTGCACGTATATTGTTGAGAGAGGGCACTGATAAGAGATGCTTAGGACATGAAGGCTCTACCCTCAAGATATAAGGGAGTAGCTTGATTACCATTGAAACTGGTTCTCAAAGGAGCTTGAAACCCCCTTTCCAACGCCACCTGCCCCCTCTCTTTCCTTTCCTTCTACCTTGTTTTGGGATGACTGCAAAAGAGGGTTAATTGACACAACTTGACCGTGGACTTCTTAACCTCCGGAGCTGTAAGAAATAAAATCTGGGTTCTTTATAATTAACCCGGTCTCAGGAATTCTGTTCTAGCCTCACAAATACAAGTAAGAGACTTGTCAAGGTAATTGTTAACCCAACTATTTCCCCATGGCCCGGGGCACCAACCTTTGAGCAGCTCTCATGACAGCGTTCAAGCGGTCCCCACCCTGATGGCTCATCCTCTCACTAGGTCACCACTTAAGACTGAGCTACAGGAGCTTCTGAAGCAATGGTTACTCCGTGCCTTCACATTTCCCCCTCTTTCTACCCTGTGCAGTGGCTTGTCATTAAATACCAGAGGGGGCACAGGGACTAATGTGGAAATGGCCCTTTCTAGGCGCTGACTCTAGGTGTGGTTGTGAGTACTTTACATGGAAAGACAACCTTATCTTAACACTCATAACCTCTTTGGGGTTCAAGTTAAACAAGGGGATTGAGACAAACCAGAAAGTGATGGGGAAGAGTTTAATTCAGGCACAGCATACAGAACGTGGGTCCTGGGAACCGAACTCTGGTCTTCTGCAATAACTCTGAACCTAGACCATATCTCCAGCCCCATATTTTAATTTTTTCATCACACCTGTATTCCTTGTTATTGCTAAATAGAATATTTTAAAGATTTCAGATGTAACAATCAAAACAAAATAGGATTCTAATTTCAGACCCTCATCAGTATGTTCCATTAGGAAGAAGGGGTGTGGGAACACTCCCTGGAGATAAGTTGGGTTGCTTATTGTTGGCAAATACTTGCTTCTCAGAAGATTCGTCACATAACTGTTTCCAGTTGCAGATCTTGCTCAATGCTCTGCTATTCACTGTGTGTTCCCTGCTCTACCCCACAGTAAGCTCATGTCTCAGTTATCAATGGCTTCATGACAAGCTGGTCCTAAACTGTAGCTTAAATCATTTTCTTATCCCTCCCAGTTTTGCAGGCTGGGACTTGGGGCAGGGCAGCTATACAACCGTTCAGTTCCATGTGACACTAACTGAGGTCCCTCTAAGGACTTTAACCGCTGATGGCCAATGGCTTGGTCTGAAGGTATAGGAGAGCTTCACCGATATGTACTCCCTTCAGGCTGCAGCAGCAAAATACTATGGACCTCTTGGCTTATAAGCAGCAGAAGTTGTTTCTCACAGTTTGGGGTAGTCTGATGTGGAAGGGTCTTCTGTTTTGAGTTGATTTCATTGGTTAATAAAGAAACTGCCTTGGCCCTTGATAGGACAGAAAATTAGGTAGGCGGAGTAAACAGAACAGAATGCTGGAAAGAAGGGAAGTTAGGCAGATGCCATGCCGCTCCTCTCCAGGGCAGACGCGATGAAGCTCCGGCCTAAGATGGACATAGGCTAGAATCTTTCCCGGTAAGCTACTGCCTCGTGATGCTACACAGATTATTAGAAATGGGTTAGTTGAGATGTGAGAGTTAGCCAAGAAGAGGCTAGATTTAATGGGCCAGGCAGTGTTTAAAAGAATACAGTCTCTGTGTAATTATTTTGGGGCATAAGCTAACCAGGTGGCCAGGAGCCAGGCGGCAGGAATGCAACCCACAGCTCTTGCTACAGGAGTCTACCACCGAGGGACTGGCAGGTTCCGGGCCGACTAAGAACACTGCATGGTTCTTAGATGGGCTGTCACATGTAGAAAGTAGCACTGTTGGGTAGACTCGCCTCTCAAACCTCCACCTCCTCATGCTATCACAGGCTGATTAATCTTAGGCATGTGAATGCATGTGGATTTTGGAGGAATACAATTAATTTACATTCTGCCTCTCCATTAGGGATATTGCAATGACCTTCCATAAAGTTTCAGCTTTTGTTTACTTTAAACACACAAGGAAAATTCCTGTTTTTAACTTTTGTTCAAGTGTAAACAAATATCAGCACCGAAGAAACTTGTATTGAAGACCAGTAGTCATCCAGCAGATGTTGGATTTACAGAAACGTTCCAAAAAATATAACTCAGAGCCATGCAAACTTCCCTTGCCCTATTATTATTAGCAGTAGTTGTGTTCCACACTGAAGTTGTCTATATCCAGCACTTATGATTTAGGAAGGCCAGGTCCACCCCACACAGCATCTTGTTAATGAGTGGTTGTTATGGATGTACCACAGGCTTTTGGGGAGACTAAAGATCCCCTATGCCATTTCAATTCCTAGTTAGAATTTCTACAACAAAAGCAGATTAACAAGAGAAAAAAACACACAAATGCATTAGCGTGCAGCACACTATTTATAAAATTTAAATATAAAAAGTGTATTTGTGTGTGCCATATATATATGTACATATATATACATAATACATACATACATACACACACACACACACACACACACACACACATATATATATATAGCTGGTGCATGAATGTGAAAATGCACACAATCACAGGGGAGCATGAAGAGGTCAGAGGAGGACACGAAGAATCTTCCTCTATCACTTTCTGCCTCACTAGTCTAAGAGAGAATCTCTCACTGAGCCAGAAGTTTTAGCTGGCTGACCAGCAGGCTCCTGGGATCTGTTCCTCTCTGTTCCCTGATGTTGGGTTTATAGTCACCCAGAGTCACAGACATCTTTTTATGAGTATGCTTGAGATTCAAATTCATGTCCTCATGCTTGAATAGCCAGCACTTACCTACTGGGCCATTTCCTTGGCCTCTGGTATAGCATCTTCAACAAAGAATAAGTCAGGAGAGAGAAGAACCAAGGCAGACCATGGTAGGCTTCCATGGTAAAGTCCTTAAAGGCCAATTGCAATAGAAAAAGCAATTTGGCAAGGAAAGCATGTTGGGGAGACCAAGTATACGCAGGTTTGCTTTCAGGTGTCTTCTTGCCAGCTCTGGGCTATGAGTCTAGAATAGTCAATGCTAGAGAAGAACGCATATGTCCCCATTAGTTAGAAAACCAGAAATAGGTGAGTTGCCTCTGTTGCTGCTTGACTGCCCTTAGTTCAAAAGTAACTATTATGACGTATTTTGGCATATTTTGACATGGCAT